GACAGACAGGCCTAGGTAAAGCCAAGCTGTGTACCTCAAGAACTACGGGGTTTTGCAGACTGTTGTAGTGTGTTAGCCCTTGTGTATGCCATTTACACCAAGCATAAATCTGTTCCACAGGGAATGAAATGACCAACATAAGAAACCAATGATTTGATCCTCCCACTGGAGGGAGCTAATTTCATCATTCATTCAAAAGGTAGATCCAAATGCTAATTAAGGAAGTTTAGTAAATTAATTTGCAGAAGTTCAGTCGCAGACTTGCACTCATCAAACCCACAAATATCAGATGATAACAAGAATGCAAATAGCTGCATTTTTTTGAGTCTCCTGTATAAAACTCATTCTTGGTTTTCTTGGAAGTGGTTTTGAAACTTACTTGCATACCAACCATATTAGTATTCAGCAGTACTAGTTGTGTACTAATATTATTAATCTTTTTAAGCTAAACTGAAAGAAAAATTACACATTGCCTTAAGGTAGATATGACACCAAGAATGATCTTTTCAAGAACTAAAATTAAGGAATTATAGTAATATAAAAATAAATATTAATAGGAAGCCCCTATATTAGCTAGGTGAGGTTTAGGTCCATGAATCTTATGTGTTTATCTTGTCAATGTATAAACCACAGTATTTCTGACTGTCTTGGAGGAATCAATAAAAGATATGTGTGCTATTTACCCTTTCCTTTTTTTTTTCGTATTTGCCTTTTTAAAGTTTCATATTTTACAATACTTAAAATTTGTTTTCATTATTATATATGTGTGTCGGTTAACGGCTTTAACAGTGGTTAAAGAAAAAGCCAACTTTTTTTAACAAATTGACTGAGTAAAATCTTTGCAAGTAGGGAATGAGGAACCTTGGCCAGAACCATTCACTAAACAAAATGCTGTGTTCCAGAGGGTGCTTAATAAAATGTTCAGTCTGCTCCAAGACAGTATTGCTTGCTAATGGACACTAGCAATTTTTGAGATGTTTGGAACACTTTAATCTTTACTCCAGATGGAAAAACTGCCAAAATCTGCAAACCATTATGAGACGGTGAGAGTACATTTTTCGGTTTTGAACTTTTCCCATACAAATCTGGCCTTAGCAAAAAAGAAGATGGCCATGTAGTGGGAGGGATTGCTTATACTTGGTTCAGTTGAACCTTTTCCCAGAGATACTAGTATCTTTTTTTTTACTGTTGTCGTGGTTTAGACCTAGCCAGTAACTCAGCACCATGCAGTCATTCACTCATCCACCTCCTTACCCTCTTTCCCCAGGGTGGGATGGGGAGGAGAATCGAAAGAATGTAAACCCCACAGGTTGAGATAAGAACAGTCCAATAACTAAAATAAAGTAACATATACTGATAATAGAAAGAATACCAATAATACCAATAGTAACAATAATAATAATAATAGGAAACAACAAGAGAAGAAATGAAAGCTCAGAAAACACAAGTGATGCACAATACAATTGCTCACCATCTACCAAATGATACTCAGCCCAACTTGAGCAGCGATCAGCCCTTTCTGGGTAACTCCCCCCAGTTTATATACTGGGCATGATGTACTGTGGTATGGAATGTAAGCTGTTACAAAGCACGTTTGAAAGATTACATTTAATTGTACTGTATTCCAGTCCAGCTGCGAAAGCACCATTTGAAGGCACAAATCAGTAGGAAGCGTTCACTTGTTTAGAAATGATCACAGGAGTCCTTTGTAGCCCTGGAAGTATGCTCTTGTGATTTTGTGGAGATACTGCACTATATACTGAGTGAGTCATGGGTAATGTCCAGAGACAGAACAGATTTTTTCATATAGGAAAATATCTGCAGATTGTATGAAATGAGTATCAGGTATTAAATTTAGTATTTTTTTCTAGAGTCCAGATGTGTTCCTAATACAATGTTAGTGTTGCTTGGAAAGTAAACATTACACAGCATGTACCGCAGAGTGGTACATATATGGAATAAGAAATAGTTATGAAATTTTAATGTAGCATTTTTTGATAAATGCTGGCTTTTTATCACATCAGTTTTATTCAAAGTACTTTAATACTTGCCTGTGTTTTAATTTGTTTTGTATGTTAATCATCATAGAGATATTCATGACCATAAGCAGAATAGATTTGGTTGTGAAGGGGACATCGGATCAATGAATATAGCGCTGGGATGCAGAAGGCATGCATTGTATTTTGCTTTTCATAATCACACTGTAAATGGACTGGGACAGGTTAATTTAATCTCTTTGCTTTGGTTTCTCTTCATACAAAATTGAGATCCCAGTACTTTCTTTGAAAAAAGCACTGAGGTCTATAGAAAGATAAGTAATTTAAGAACTATGTGAGATTTTATTGCTATTATGGTAAATGGGAGGAGAAAGTGCTCATTCACACCAAACCTTGGTTTATTCCCTGCTTCCATCTTTTAAGTGGGTTATTCAGCAAATAAAGATTTCCAGTATGGATTGGATAGAGAGATTAGAATTACCTGTGATCAGTCAGATTTATCAGTGGAATCTTTCAAGGCTGCAGTTCAGATTCTCTCCTGCTTATTCCACTTCCTAAGCAGTTGCCATGCATCAGATATGGTTTTCTGAAATGTTGCTGTTTTGATTTAGTGGTATTTCGTGTCTGCTTTTTTTTTTTCCTGTTTCATATGTCTTGTAATTCTTTTTATTTATGGTGGAAGACAGTGAAGAAGTTGGACCTTTGAAATTCTTTATTGATGGAAACATTACCAAAACTTAAGATGTATATTCTAATAATGTATGTGTGGGGGTATTTGTCAAAGGAACCTGTAGGACTTATCACTCACTTACTTCTGTTGAATTTCAGTGGGATTTCAAAGTCTTACTCCCTCAGGCTCTTCTTTTCACTTTATACCTCAAACATCAATCTTATCATATATAGCAATGATTTTTTGGCAAAGCCCCCCAGACAGAAACAACAAGGAGGCTTTCAGGGCAATTGTTTTCCTTGAATTACCTGGTATTTCTAGCCAGATTTCATATATTCCCCCTGCTTCAAGCACACTGTCCCTTCTGCTCCTAATCCTCCGTGATTTTTTGTTTTTCCATGGTTTACAACTGAATTGATAGATAACCCGGAGTTGTAAATGTGATTTTTAAGTCACATGATATTTAGCAAATAAACCAACATATAAATCAGCAAATAAAACAGGATACTTGAATGTGATCTATTGCAGAGAAATGGCAAACTATTTGTCACATGAGGCAGTGTCTCTGGCAGTGATGAGACAAAGTAAAAGATCAGTATAATGTCAAAGAAATTAGTCTTTTGGAAGTCATAACTTTGTATTTCACAGATATATTTGCTAAAGTATTATTAGATGTAATAGTAACTAGCATTAAAGAAATGAAAGCAAATTAATTTTCAGTGTAGTGTAGTGTTGGTTTTATTTAGTATTTGTTTGAGTAACTATAATTTTACTTATAAAAATGGAAAAATTGTATTGTGGTAAGACCACTTGATATAGCTAAAAGCTGTGCTTGTGGTTTTGTCAGATTCGTTTATAAGTATCCCATTACCTCATACCAAAAAGATCTCCCCAAGCACCTGTCACAGTTCCTAATGAAAACTGCCTTCTCTCCTGCCCCTGCCATGCTCCTTCAGGTATCAGAATTATCTTTTTGTTATTCCTTACGCTCATCTTAGTCCCTGGCCCTGACCTGGAAAACGGAACTCACAGCTCCTTGGCTTACAGACCAAAGGAGCTGAAAAGGGCTGTCGCCTCTTTCTGTTTAGTTTATTCAGCACTTCTTTTATGCCTCCATATGATTTATTGAGAAAGAACTTAAGCCTTGTTAATCAGCACACAAGGGAGCCATCAGAAAGTGATGGGCACTGATAAGTTCCTTGAAATCACTTGACTATTTTATATTGGTTGAATTTTATCAGGACTTTTCCATTCAAAGATAATTTACTCGAAAATGGTTTGTATAAACTGTAGCATTTTCAGAGTAGTTGCAATACTACAGAGTGTTGTAACATACTGATATTTTGAAACCATTTTGCACCTGTCCAACAAAACTGAAATTGCACCAAGGTTGCATTTGGCAATACACAGAATTCAATTTGCTTCCAATAAAGTTTTTAAGCTCTTCCACTTCCAATTTGTATGCTGTGCTGACAGTGGCAAACCACTAAATGCATTTCAGGTCCAATTTGAAATTAGTTGATGAATTTGCATTATCAATGTTTAAACAGTATCTTTTCTTTTTCTTTTTTTTTTTTTTTTCTTTTTTGTTTAGAAAAGCTGCAAAATTCAGCAGATGGGATGCCCTGCATCTGGTCTAGGTCATCAGTCTATTTTTGCTTGCATCCTTTTCTCCTGACTCTACTTCATTCCCAGTATCAGGCATCAGAGTAAAGTTCAGCAGACAGTGTCACCTGTTAATCATCAGCTATTGTTCCATACTTCTGTACTCCTATTACTAAAGTCCATACTACTACAGAACCTTACTTTCCTGTTTGGAAGAATCTTCTTTATATCAGTCTGCTTCGATATATTGTGCCCTTTACAGGTAGCCTTGTTTCCTTCCTTCCTTCGTTCCTTCCAGTCTCAGCCATTCTCCTGTACTCTTGAAATGCCGGGTTACTCTTCTTCAGGTGCATCTGCTGCAGGAATTATTTAATATTCTTCTATTTACTATTCTTCTGTGTATTTTTTCCTTACCTCCTAATGTAAAATAGCTGTTTTTTAAAATTACCGTTGTCACACATACTATCTGCACCAGGTACATAAATCTAAAGATAGGAATGGTGCAATATACAAACAAGAGCTAACAATCATGAAGAAGAATGTCATACCCTTAATAATTGTCTTCCTATTTATTATTCTCAGAATTATGCAATTTTGTTTGATGGACGTTCTCCCTTGACAATTTTACCAGAGGAATTTTTGCAAGCAGAGGTTTTCTGCTTTGGTCTTCAAAAAGCAAATTAATGTTTTGTTGCATCAAAACCAAGCATATCTTTATTCCATTACAGGAATACACAATAGATGTTTTCTTCCGTCAGAGATGGAAGGATGAGAGATTGAAGTTTAAGGGCCCAATGAACATTCTTCGATTGAACAACTTAATGGCCAGCAAAATCTGGACTCCAGATACATTTTTTCACAATGGGAAGAAGTCAGTGGCTCATAATATGACAATGCCAAACAAGCTTCTACGAATCCAAGATGATGGGACTCTCTTGTACACCATGAGGTAAGTCTTTTCATCTGTTGTCTACCTAAGCTATTTTTTGTTGTGATTATTCAAGATAACAACTTGGTTCCACTAGTACTCTCCTTTGTTTTATTTCTCTCCCAGCAGAAAGAAAGCTAGGAAAACACATTTTGTTTCCAGTTTTGTTGCAAGTCTGTTGGCTTGATTATGAGTTAAGTCAGTTTTCCTACATGTCTCTCAGATTTCACACCTCTATAATGTATTGGAAGATACTGACCACCTGCATAAAGTGCTTTGAGACCTTCAGATGGAAATCACGGTGTAAGAATTGTTAAGAATACTCAAAATTTACCAACTCCGTCTTAGAATAATTAAAATAGTATCTTTTAATTGCTTGCTACTTCCATTGTACCAAAAGCATGAGCCCTTAAGCAAATTTATTATTAAGATCAGTGGCAATAAAAAATAAAGAAGAAAGTGTTAATAAGGCCTGAAGTTCTTTCCAGCAAGAACTACAGGGAAAATATGTCTTACCCTGTAATAAATCTTTCTTTATATCTATTTACAATATTTTACATAGAGTTTTAATTTTTTCATCCTGTGCATGATTAGCAGCAAAGATAAACATTTAGATGGTAAAAAGTATTAAATTTACTTATAAAATAATGTATGAAAAATGATACATGTTTGCATAGGAGTAAGTAGTAGTTTTATAAGACTGATTTCTTCTTTGATTACTCTTCTTACAATAATGTTACCTATATGAGTTTTCTGGAAAATTTTTATCCAAATTTCCAGAAACGTTTGACTTAGTTTCTTTCTTTTTCTGTGAGAATATTTAATAAATTGAATCTGTTGTAAATGTAGACTTAAAATTCCCAGCCTAAGTAAGATATAAAATGTGAGCTGTAAAGTAAGCATGAATTGTGCATTTTTTTGCCATGCAGCAATACCATCATCTCTTAAGCCTGATTTACTACACAACACCCTTATAGTACTGAGTGTTGATGGGTAGACTGCTAATAATGTTGAATGATATGGTGGTTGGAAACGTTCAGAAAGGTTTGCTGGAAATAAAATGAGACCCCCATTTATAATATTTTTGCTTGGGCTCAAATCAATATTTGCACTTGTATTTGTATAAATTGACTGAAATTCTTGTCCTCCAGAAGGCAATATAATCATATGCTGTAATAAAAAATACTGTTTGAACACATTATGAAGATTTTTTTAAAAAACATAAGATGGGTCATGTCAGCTAGAATTAACTAAAGCATTTTCCTGACTTTTAAGTATGTTGCTTCTGAGATTATGAGATTAATGTGTAAATTATTTTCATTGTCTAGATTTTTAACAGCCATTTTAGCCTGTATATTTAAAATCATAGTGTGATTTATACGAGGGGCTCATGCAGTTCTTTAACCTTCAGGTGTTTGCTGACTCATCTCTCTGCCCATTGACTTCACTCTTCTGTGGAGTGGGGGAACAGTAATATGGAATATTTTGGGGTGGAAGGGTGGGAAAACATAGTGGGGAATACAGAGACTGTGAACCACTGGGAGTACAGGAGGATGTAGCTGATTTTTGAGGCTGGATGAAGAGGAATGAAGACATACAGAAAAAAAATTTCTAGCCAGAGAAGATTTACAAGATAGGAAGGAGAAACAGAGTTTTGTTTTGTTTATTTGTTTTAATTAAAAATTAAATTTTTTTTTGTTTTAATTAAATTTTTTTTTTGTTTTAATTAAAAATAACAAGAAAGAAAAGTTTGTCGAAACCCTTCTTCAAACTTTTAATTTTTTTTTTTCTTAATCCCTACATTTGATACTGGGGTGTTGCTGGGATTTTTTCACAAAATAAGCAAAAGTGAGTAGATTGTTAACATACCATCATGATTATACATATATAGAAATAATCATAGCAAGTAACATGGAGAATGAGTAATATCGACAGTCTTTTGAAAGAACACAAATGGAGTTTTGTCTACGTCTTTCACATCTTCAAACAAAAAAAAAAAAAAGCCCCAGGAAACTATAGAGCACAGTCCTTTGGCAAATTAACTGCATTTATGTGCTTTTGTAATGAGTCCTTGAGAGCCATATAATCACACATGTACCTCAGAATATTGTGAGAAGAAAATGACTGTTCTTAACAACCTGCAGTTACATGGTTACATAACTTATATTTTCATTTAAATGGCCTGTGCTCATAGTTTTGAGGTCAGCTCGTTCAAGTTTTTGATGTGATAAGTCAATGCCTTCCAAAGGAACACATAAAAGGGAAGAAGCAAGAGCTGATTTAAATTTTAATTAGTTTAATGTAACATTTCAATTTCATCTCCTAAACCAGCATGAACTCTGTTCATTTCTGCTGAAGTGATTTTCTTGTACTGTTAACTGACTTAAATGCATAGCGGTCTTTTGCCTTTTAGGCTTACAGTCCAAGCTGAATGTCCAATGCACTTGGAGGACTTCCCTATGGATGCTCACTCATGCCCATTGAAATTTGGCAGCTGTAAGTATATAATAAGTATAGCCTTTGGTTAATGAATATCTAACATTGCTTACCATCACTTTGTTTCAGCAAATTGTTATATGAGAGGTTTAAACACAAAATGGTACTTTTTAAAAGGTTTGTAACCTGGTATATCAAAATCTCTTCGTGTGGTGTCTTCTAATGTATTTTAAAGCTTTCTTCTTAACAATAAACACTATACACCTAGTTCAGCTCAGCACTGCAGTGATCTACTTTATTCCAGTGTTGAAACCATACCGATGAATGCAGCCCATGTTGTATTAGTGAAGAGCAGATTAAAGACTTCAAATAATGGGTTGGATTTGGTTGGCTTTTTGTTTTTTGGTTTGGTTTTTTTTTTTTCATTTATTGAAACACTTTCTCTATATTCTTGGTGATACTTGTTTTTACATTCTTCGTTTATGAAGACAATAACAAATGGTTTCTTGTGATAAAAAAATTCACTCGTTAGCATATCTGCATGTTATAGACAGGTGAACTTTGATCTCAGTAATATTATGTTAACAGCAGCCTAACTCCATTCACCTATACTACAGGCTTTCTTCTTCTTCTTCATAATTTAGAATCACATTATATTTCCTGGATTTTGTACACTGGAAGGTTTTAGTTTTTAGTTTGACTACAGTCTACATTCTCTGCTGGGCTCAGGAAAGAGAATTTTTTTGGGGGAAACCAGTTAATACCTTTAAATGCTGGCTCATTTTACAGCACAGGTTACAAAACAGGTGGTAAGATGCCACTAAGGACATCATTAACCAGGTGAACATTGTCAGGGTGCTATGCACACTCTCTCCATCACCCTGGCATACTTCTTTTCCTTGGAGTTTGGAGCAAATTAAACTAAGCCTATGTTTCTGATGATGCTTCCACACTAGAGAGAACGCTTAGCTATGGAGAGAAAAAATCATTAGGACTAATAATATTTGTATTATGGAGTCTTACCCACCCCTAAATATTTTATGTATAAAACATAATACAGCTTAACTAACTAAATAAGAGATGTTAGCTGAAATCAGCTACTATCTAATACCATTTATATATATGTGCACAGCAATGTATGTTTGATTTATAAGGTATGATAAGAAAAAAGACTAATATGTAGCCTTATTTGGTTGGGTCTTTTTTGCTTACTAATTTATTCTTTGTTCTGTGCCCGTGGTTTCTGGTTTTCTAATAAGAAGGAAAATTAAAACTGTGAGCAATGTGATTTTAGAAAATCTGTCTTTCATTTCCCTCATAGTCAGTCACCTGTGCTCCAGTCTTTTGGCATATTCAGGGGACTCTTATTTCTGTCCATTTAGAATGGCTTCACACTCATTTTATTTCTTTACCGAGAACTAATTTCTAGACTACTGTGCATTTTTCAGCTTTTATTCTGGGCTAGACTTTGAGTCATGAATAGTGTTAAAAATAAGAAGGAATCCTGAGGATTTTGGTTTAGCTGAGACAAGTTTGCCAGTGATGTATATCTGTTGCAGCTCTTCATATGCTGCTACTCTTACATTGCTAGGAGGATCACCAGCCTATATGAATGTCTGTTTGGTTTGTTGTAGGGTTTTTTTAATACATAGGAGAAAAGCCAAACTGAACACATTGGAGAAAGTGTAGCTTAACAGATTGCCTTTCTTTATCCTTGTCACAAAGTCTAGCCAACACTGGGGAGAATGGGGACAAATCAGCAGTTGGCAATACTGCTGGTTTGCATTAAAGCAGAGGTCTTCTTGCAAGAAGCTGGAAAGATAGAAGGGAAGTGTTAAAAATCTCTGCGTGGTACCCACCTGCTACATTTTGTTAGTCATACGATTTATGGCTACTTGCATTTTTGGGCCTCCAGAGATTTCTCAAGCGAAAATGTTTGCAGCCCAACAGAAATGAAATGTTCCCTTCCCTTCCCTTCCCTTCCCTTCCCTTCCCTTCCCTTCCCTTCCCTTCCCTTCCCATTTCTCTTCACTTCCCTTCCTTTCTCTTCCCTTCCCTTCCCCTCCTTTTCTTTTCTCTTTCCATTTGCTGTCTTTTTTTTCTTCGTCCATTGCAATACAGTTATGCTGTAAGACTTAAAATGTACTTGTCTCAGTCAGTCAAACTGAACGCAAAGTTTCTTCCATCAGTGGTTTACCACTTTCCTTTCATTTTCCATTTGTTAGTAGGGTATTAGGCTGGAAAAACTAGCAGCACATACTTAATTATTTCCTTTCTTACTTATGGGAGAGTCATTGATGCTATTCGAAATACAGTGTTGATTTATTTTCATTCTAGCTTATTTTGACAGACCATAGGCTAAATGCATGCACTGAGAAAGTCTGCTTAATGTCAGTGTGTCCCACAAAAAGGTGCCAAAGAGTAAAATTTAAGAGGGTACATAGGGCAAGGCACAGAGCAATTATAAGTTTGTTAAGGGACCTGGCTTCCCATGTTTAGGTATGAATTTCAGCTGATAATAAAATGCTTGTGATACATTCCCAAAGTGGAGAGTGGGGACACTAGAAAATCAGCAGTATAGGAATGAATTTTCAGAAATGTTGTGCATGCTAAATCTTGCACACTGCTGCTTTTTTTTCATCTGGTTTACAGGAGTTTTAGGATACATATAATATCTAATCTCTGACAAGTTTTTTAACAGTGTAGAAGATATGTTGTTTGTAATTTAATAGCAGTAAATTGTGGTTGATAAGATCACAAATGAGTGCCCTGTTTCCATGCTTCAATAGGCATCTACCCTACAGTAAAGATATTTTAAACCACAAAACATATTTTTCCCATATAATTTTAGGTTTCTGGTGATGGCTTTATTTTATTTTTTTTAAAAAAGCTCTTCTAATTCTATGAGTTTTGATGGAAACTGTTTAATTAAAATTTCTGACAAAATATTTTATCTCATTTCCCAAAGATGCATACACTACTTCAGAGGTGACGTACATTTGGACTTATAATGCTTCAGATTCAGTGCAGGTGGCACCAGATGGCTCAAGATTGAATCAGTATGATCTTTTAGGCCAAACAATTGGAAAAGAGACAGTTAAATCTAGTACAGGTAAGTAAGAGATATTTTGAAGAAAAAGGCACTCACTTGGCTGTGAAGAACAGGCATTGCTGGTGGTGTTGGAAGGCTACTGAAAAAAACTTGCAAAATATGAGATTTTAGGCAAAGTCTACTAACACAAGTACAAGTAACACATAGCAGCACTTTACTGACTTTTCCAAGTTAGTAAGTTAATGGTGATAGCAGAGGTGAACTTGTCTCCAGTAACTGTTCTTTTAATGCTGTATCTGGAGCTTAGCCTTGAATCCTAACTTTTTTAACCCAAGACTGGGATAATGGTTTAATTTCATATGGTAAATGACACTTTTTGTCTATTAAATGGTGAAGCATGCAAGTTTCAACCATTTTTCCCTTCCATGATGTTTTGGCTTTAAACAATGGGTTATTCTACCAGACTCTAGACTGTGTTCCTACATGAGCCAGGCTGTGATGGACCCCCATGATTGCCTTCTGACTGAGATTAAGTTTTCAGGGTGCCTTTGTGTGAACACGGAATGTTGCTCATGTACAGAAGCCTGGAAGACTGAAGCTCTTGTCAGGGTGTACGGAGTTCCTCTAAGTTCCTGAACACTGATATCCCCTAGAGCTCAGTGGGAATGAGATGCAGTTGTGTTCAAAAACTTTCTTATATTCTGTAGGACATTTTCTACTACAAAATATGTTCTGTGCAATTTGACCCTAGCACGTTTGGTTCATGTAAATGTACCAAACTCTTTTTTTACCAAAGAAATTAACTTCCTTAAGATGATAACCTTTTGTTTCATTGTATTTTGTTTGTCTGTGGCTCCTAGGTGAATATACAGTAATGACAGCTCATTTTCACTTGAAGAGAAAAATTGGTTATTTTGTCATTCAGACTTACCTACCCTGTATCATGACTGTGATTCTCTCTCAAGTGTCATTCTGGCTGAACAGAGAATCTGTACCTGCCAGGACAGTTTTTGGTGAGTATACTGAGTAGCATTAGCTGTGTTTGCAACAGATGAAGCTGTTTGTTAGGAAGCATTTTGGAAGTATGGTTGGTAAAGGTCTTTTTCATTCAAGTTGGTGTGTTTGTAGAGTGTAATACTCTTTCTACTCCAAATAGGTTTCAACTACAGCTCACAGATCTCCTAAGAATCCCAAAGTTTTTTGAAATTAGTGCATATGAGACAACTGTCCATATATCTGTGACTCTTTTGAGAGGAAAAAGTTTTCACAGAATAGAAAAAGACACTAACATTTCTATTTAGAAAGTGAATTTAGAGTATTTTCTGAAATGTCTTTCTTACCTTAATATTATCCAAATAATATTTTGGTTCTTGGTAGGTAAACACATTTCTAAATATATTTTTTAAATTAAGCAAATTATGTTTGAATTTGTTGAATTATTTGAATGTGTTAACTTTGCAAGCTGCAGTTGTTTAAAATTAACCTTATTCTGGGGGTCTGGGCAAAAACCTTCCCACTAATTCAAATTGGAATGTACTACAAGGCAGTGAACAGCATCAGCAGTGCAAAATAGTGTTATTTCTTTTACAGTAAGGTTTTGCTTTCTTCTTTATTAAAGCAAAGTAACAAATGTCTTTCTTATTTGCATAACCTAAAGTTATTTTAATTTGTTTGTTTTTAAAGAAAAAGAGACTAGCACAGCAAAATAGAGAAAGCAATGTCTGTGTGAAATCAGCCATCAGAAATGCTGCATAAATCGTGTGATTAGTCATCAGTAAACACTATGCACTCTTCAAAAAATAGGTCAAACTCACTGTCTCTCCTGGTAGAGAAAATGCCACACAAAGCATTGTGAAAATTGCAAGTTTGAATATGAGCCTTATTGAAGTCAGATGAAATGGATCAGTGGTTTTAGTGGGACCAGAATTCTACCACATTTTCCAAGGCAATTATCAGGCAGATTTTTTTACTTTCTTCCTTCAAACTCTTCTGTGAATGTGTCCATTTCTTATCAAAATTCACATTCCTATTTTCCAGCATTACAAGTATACTGTCAAATCCTTCTTTATCTCTGACTTTGCCCCTTGTACTCCTTCCTGTACATTTAAGACAGTGTAACTGGTCTGTAACAAAAAGTTTCACATCTTCTTTTCCTAAAATGCATTTTCTGTTACTGTGTCATCAGTAACAAGGCATTAGGATAGTTTATATGGAACGTTGTGTCCCTTCCTGCATACCTCTTTCTTTCTGATTTTTTTTTTTTAAATTTATGGCGTTTTTTTTGGAAATAAGTAATATCTGCATGGCAGACTGCTGCTTTACTCTCCTGGGGGTTTAGCGTAATACGGATAATAAAAAGTGTCCTGTTTCAGGATGTCTTGAGGGAACTGGGTAGGATGGCTGCAAGAACAGAATGACACCACCCACTGACATAAATCTAAAATATGTGTACTAAGCACAATGGGTATATTGAGGAGATAGCTATTTCTACGCTAGTATTTTATTTCCGCCACACAGACAGGCCTGTCATGCACCAGACAGGGTTCCATCCCATCCAGGCCAGCTTAGACTGGCACCCTGAACTAAGGGGAGCAAGATGTTCAGGCTCTGTGTGATGGAGCAGACTAGCCCCTACAAACATCATTTCCACCTTGGGCTTAACCTTTGGCATTGGGTTGGATGTCTCCTGAGGAGCTATTTCTTAATGTTCTTTTACATTCTAGATGAGATTGTCAGGCTGAGATGCTGGTGGCTTCTCTAATCACATAGCCCCAGGTGAATCTCCTAGTCTTTCTCCATACCTTACTGGAAGCAATTGTCACTGCATCAAAAGAAGCATGACCAGCAGGCCGAAGGAAGTGGTCATTCTCTTCTACTCTGCACTCATGCGACCTCACTTGGAGTATTGTGTGCACTTATGGTGTCCTCAACATAAGAAGGACATGGAGCTGTTGGAGCAAGTCCAGAGGAGGGCCACGAGGGTGATAAGGGGACTGAAGCACCTCCTGTATGAAGACAGGCTGGAAGGTTGTGGCTGTTCAGCCTGGAGAAGAGAAGGCTGCATGGAGACCTCATAGCAGCCTTCCAGTATCTGAAGGGGGCCTACAAGGATGATGGAGAGGGACTCTTTATCAGGGACTGTAGTGGTAGGGCAAGGGGTAATGCGTTGAAACTAAAACAGGGAAAGTTCAGGTTAGATACAAGGAAGTTTTTCACTGTGAGGGTGGTGAGGCACTGAAATGGGTTGCCCAAAGAAGTGGTGAATGCTCCATCGCTGGCAGTGTTCAAGGCTGGGTTGGACAGAGCCTTGAGTGGCATGGTCTAGTGTGAGGCGTCCCTGCCCATGGCAGGGAGGTTGGAACTAAATGATCTTAAGGTTCTTTCCAACCCAAACCATTCTATGATTCTATGATTTCTGATACTCTTCTGTTCTCCTGCCTAAATGTGTTAACAAAAGTGTGTAGTTAGCTACAGTTTCATATCAAAGTTCATCTATTGCTTCTTATGGTTTTCTGCCTCTTACTGAATTAATCCTGGCAATTAGAGTTGGGCAGGTATACTCACGATCTCATTTGGGTGGTACTTTCAGGCGTACTCCACCAGTGACACATGAAGCCCATGCTACAGCTAAAATAATAAAATAAGCTACTTCCAGCAGGAAACATAAATCTGGCAGGAGATTTTATTTACATTTTTATTGATCATACTTAATTTTTAGTTTTTATATGGAGTCGTTGCTAGATACCCATCTTTGCACTGTATAATAAATGTATAGATATAACAATTATATATTCTACATAATATGTAAATATAATAATTTCCTGGGTATATGGATGTAATAGTATAGCAATAACTAATGTATAAATGTTAAAATATGATTAAGTAGAAAGTATTAGTTTTGATAAAGTGTTTTTCAGAATAAATGAGAAATTTATTTCAAGTATCTTCTTGAAAGCTACCAAGTCCTGAAAAGGACTAACTTCTGGAGTACTGTTCCTTTCAAAGAAACATGACTCCCAGGTATTCAAAGCAGTACTTAGCATTTATTATTTAATATTTGAAAGAAGTTACTTTTCTTTCCCCTTTCTAATCTCTTGCAACATAGTTTCAAGTTCTAGGGTAACATTAAGGGCTTGGTAGAATGAGGCTTCTTTTATAATTGAGCTCCTTAATCCCTTTCCTTTATGGCATCTATTTAATATTGTTGACCTAAGCTATACCAAATGAATTATGGACTAATGTTACATTGTTTCAACTTTGCTTTAAATTATTGGAAGAAGAAAGTTTTATCATCATTAATTAAGTCTTGAATGTGTTTTCTCTAGCAGATAAATTTGAAAAGCATTTGCATTTTTAACGAAAGAGAATGAGCCTGGTTCATAATGCCCTCATTTAGTGCAAGATTACAATCTGTTTCTTTTAGTAATGTGTTTATTGTTATGCATTTAGTGTCAACAGTATTAGCAAAACTAATCTTGTTCAGTTTATTGAATTCTCCATTTTTAATGGTCATAACATTTGAAAGCATCACATAGATTTGAATAGCAGCACTAAAAACAGGTGACAGAAAAATCAGAAATTAGTTTTCTTAGTGCTATAATTATCTCTGTGGTTTAACTCACACAGAGTAAGAATGAGAATGTTAAAAGGAATGTAGTTAGAGATATATATATACTCTTTGATACCCAAAGCAGGCAAGAACAAAAATTAGGAGTTGTATTATTTTCTAGTACATTGTCCAAGATGCAGAATATTAAATTCACATAACTATGGTCTTTTGTCAGAACTGTGTTCTCTATGATCATTTTACTTTTATGCTGCATTCTTGTCTCTGTGTTTTGCTTGTTCTTGGTTTATCTTTTCTGAACCTGTGTTAATTACTGTACCTTTTGAAGCAAAAAGCCATTTAGACCTGAAATAGGCAGACTATGTACAGGTACAGAAAGGGGAACCTAAGAAAAGTACAGATTTGCTCTCTAGTTATTTTTACATGGTAATTGAATAATGTAGACCTTTCCGTTTGAGCAATTCAATATAGACAAATTATATTTTCCCATTCTGTTGAAAAAAACCTCAACTCTTTATTTGCTTCTCTTTTCACATGTTGCTGATGATCATTTGTGCCTTTAGAGTTATCCCAGCACTCACAACTTTCAGTCTACAATTTCTTAATTGGGAATTTCTACTAACTGTAGGTATAATACTAGTGGTAGGCACTGGGCAAGCATACCTGGAAAACTGTAGACCTTAGAGGCTGAAGTGGCTGCAAACAAACTTAATATGTCTTCTCAGCTCAGTGGTGTGTCAAGACAGTAGCTCATGTTCCAATAGTGGCATAATGACATGTACTTTTTACTGGAGTTAGGGTAAATAGCACTTACTGTTCAGCTTTGGTTATTGTCTTGGTTTAAGCCCAGCTGGTAACTCAGAACCATGCAGCCAATCACTCATCCGCCCCCTTCTCCCTGCCAAGGTGGGATGGGGAGGAGAATCGAAAGAATGTAAACCCCATGGGCTGAGATAAGAACAGTCCAGTAACTAAACTATAATACAAAACTAATACTACTACCACTAATAATGGTAAGGGAAACAACAAGGGGAGAGAATACAATTGCTCACCACCTGCCAACTGATACGCAGCCTGACCCGAGCAGCGATCTGGGCCTTCCAGGTAACTGCCCTCATTTTATAGACTGGGCGTGACGTGCTGTGGTATGGAATACCCCTTTGGCCAGTTTGGGTCAGGTGTCCTGTCTCTGCTTCCTCCTGGCTTCCTGTGCCCCTCCTCACCGGCAGAGCATGAGACTGAAAAGTCCTTGATTGGGGTAAGCATTACTTAGCAACAACTAAAATGCTGGTGTGTTATCAGCATTGTTCTCAGACTAAAGCCAAAACACAGCACTGCACCAGCTACTTGGAAGAAGAAAAATAACTGTTACAGCTGAACCCAGGACAATTCAGACTTATTTGCCAGTGTCTAAACAGAATCAATGTAAACACCCTTTGTATTCTATTCTCAAGTAATACATATACATTAGATAGGTAAGTAAAAAAGAAACAGTATGGTGTGTAGCCACAGTTATGGTAAAATACGTCAAAATTACACTGTCTCCAGAATTTTTAAGCTTTTGTTTAGATCTCCAACTGTTTACTCTTGGTGTGATAAAATGGGGCATCAATCTGTATCTTTCAGAACGGTACAACAATCTTTTCTTTCTGCTGTTATTTGTATTTATAAATCTATTCAGGTTTTGGACCAGGCTGAGTGATCTAATTACCTAACAAAATTTGCAATTACTGTTAAGAAAAAAAGGAAGAGTGAAATAATCTTTTTATATGTTCTTCAACCACTATTTGTATCTTTGCAAAGTGTTCTGATGAAAAGATAAAATTGTGGGAGGAGTAGCATGATATTATAAGAAATGGAACACATTTTCGGCATTTTGTACAAATTATTTGCAAAGCTGAAGTACCACTTTTGTTACAGAAATGTCCTTTAGTAACTCATTATTTAGGCCTTTGGCTTTCATTTTCAAAGGAATTGTCTGCATTCTAACATGAGAAGGCTGGGACATGACATAGTTAACTGAAATCTGTTCAAATTTAAAAATCAGTTGATACCCAAGAGGTGAAATTAGGGTCCAAAAGAGCTTGTTCCTGTCAAGAAGTAGCCTGACTTTTTGCACACAAATGTGGGCATAAGGTAATCATCATCACAAGATTTTAATATTTATGTGATAGCTCATTCAATTTCCACTGGGTGTTTTTAGTTAACCATTTCTAGTTTTTCAGTTTACCTCTTCTGCTGTTGTGTGGCAGTGTGCTAGACTGCTGAGTGACAGAAATTGTTTGCCCAAAGGTGGCTGTCTGACTTTAAACATATGTTGGATCATATCCATCTGTCCTGGAATCAAAAATATGACAGAGCTGGTATTTTCCGCATATATAAAAGTTTAGTGTCAGTTGAAAGTGTTGAATTTGGAGCCCTGGAGATGGGTATCTTCTCTCCACTGAACAGATGCCACTTCAAAAGTGGCACCATAAAATAATCCTAGGAGAAATAGCTCCAGAATGGATAAACCTGTAGTGATAGAAGATACTTAGCATTTATAAGCATGCATTGTTGAGAAAAGAAGTTGTGTGATGTTGGGGTATATCTACTGTTAAGTATAAAATGCTTGGTCCTCTTTGGAGAAGAGGTACATCAACGGTTTATGTTTTGGATCCTTTCTAAAGACAAATAGATGGCTGGACATGGTCTCTTACAAGATGATACGTGGCCATGTCCTTCTGGCACCTTTTAAGTGCCACATCTGCTATAGGAGATAGTTCTTGACATGATTATAAACTGATCTTTCTACATCAGAGGGAGATATCATGCAGTCTTTACATAGCCTTATTTAGGCTCTTCAGAGTAGTATATGATTTAGGGGAGAAGACTGTTTTTCTCTAATTGTTTGACTACCTCATTGTAGGGGGTCAATCTACTTGCTGGGTTTTATACCAATTTCAGTTCACTAGTATTACAAATTAGTGGAAAGAGGAATGTCTTTGATCTCGTCAGTGTATAGGGTATAAGTTAAATCTTTGTGAAATAAATGTGTTTTATTTTAAAAGTTGACAATATTCTTCCACATTAATTATTTTTCAGTCCTATCAGGTTTAGCAGTGACAAAGTGGCAGGTTATTTCCATTCAGTCCGTTTTTGTAAAGAAGACTTCATAATACTGATTTTTAAAATTAACTGTACTGTGCAAAATCATCTGTCTTTTGACTGAAGTATAAAAATACTAGAGATTCCTAAACTGACAGGTTTCACAAGTGAAACCTGTCCAATTTTTTTCCCACTCTGATGTTCAAGCTACCACAAGTTAAACCACTGTGGTAGCTTGAACATGACTGAATTTGTAGAGTGAAGGAGTAAATGAAATTGCATTGACAATTGTCTGACAATGGGCTGTTTGATTAACGTTTCGATCCCAAAGTGGTGTGGTTTGCTGAACTTTTTAGAGAAATTGTCAACTGGTAGCAAGATACAAGATGTAAATTCATGATGTTTTAATTGAGACTAGAAAAGGTCAGCAGTTAATCTTAAATAAGATTTCTGAAGAGTCTAATGGGGCTTCCAGAAGATTAGTTTATTCTAAAAGGTAGGACTTAAACAGAACATTACCTTAGCACCTGTATATATTTCCATGTGGATAAGGTCACCTTATCTCAGAGAAACAATCACTTTACTGATACTTCTGTGTAATTAAAATGATTTATTTGAAGCTCAGGACCAGTGTTAAAATTTGCATGTGATAATTTTACATGTAAGATAGACCGCCTTTCCCTGAGGTGCTGAAAATAATTAAGCCATATGTTGTGTGTTAGGAGGTAATAAATTCTTTACAAAATATATTGTCTACACGTTTTCGTACAATATGGTATGATAGCTGCTTCCTTTTCATTGTATAGGGCAGTAGACACTAACAGTGTCATGGCTGATTCCAGATTAAATCCACTTCTTTAATTTATGGAGGTTGAAAAGTGTCAATTAGAGAATTGTGTTTGCTAACGTGTCTGGATACTGTGTGACTCAGCAGGTTATTTCTGTGCTTTGTTTTCCCTGCTGCACAGGCCTTTGGAATTGTTATCAAGAGAGAGTAACGCTGAGGCTGAGTCTGCTTAGCTTTGCTCTGTCATCCTGTGTAGCAACCTCAGAGATGGAGATTCTTCACAGGAGCGATGGAAATTGCAAAGCCTAAAGAGGTCTGAGTAGGCGTAATTGCTGCCTCTCTTCTCTCTCACACAGCAGTGTAAAAATGCTTCTCTTGTAGTAGAAGGAAAATCTGAGCTAGGTCAATCCTGCAGAACCCAGGTGACAGGTTACTGACAGTGAAGGATCTGGCTTAAGAAGAGTGACTTTACTTTCTCTTGGGAATCTTTTTACAACAATTTTATGAGTGTATAGCTGTTGAAGCTGTGATGTGCTGTTACTAATATGCTGTGATGTGCTGTTACTAATATTTCTGCCATGGCATGTGCTTTTCCTGTCATAATAGAGTGTAGGTTTATTGATCTGTGCTAAGTATATCACTTTATGTTGCTTTTAATTCTGGAGGTGTATTTAATGGCTTGCTACAAAGGAGATAGTTCAGTTTGTCTAAGTGTGATTCAGTCTGAGGTAGGAGAACTGATTTACTTAAGGAATGGAGACTGTGTTTGTGGCTGTGCGTTTTTGCTTCCTAAAACTTGATTCAGAAAAATGTTCTTCTCTTCCTTTCCTCCTATCTATTTTTTTCTATTCTTTTGAGTATAATTCCTGGCTTCCTACTGGGTCCTCATTATGTACAAAATACCGTGAAGTGCTTTTAATAACTGCCACAGTGAAAAAGCAATCTTCCTGGATCATCAAGTCTTGTTTTCTGACACAATACACATTTATAATAATCTGGCATTTCAAAACAATATGCTGTTCTAGAAAAAAAATCCATGTTACCTGAACAAAAACTTTAACTGTTTATGTCTTCAACTATGTCACAGGATGGTTAGTGAGGCAGGGTGCCAGACCTTCAGTTACTGCAGTGAAGCCATCCACGAAACATGAACGTATTAATCATTATTACTTTAATGCTGCAAAATATTATGATTCCATTCAGGAATTGCTAATTTTTTCCCTTACCTGTCCTGATAGCTAAAAAAAATATATATGTTTTCTATCTCCTATAAGTAAAATCTTAACCCAATTAAAAAAGGGAAGTTTAGACGACAAAATTGAACTAAAATACGTGAAAGGAAACCGAAGATGCAGCTTTTAATAAGGTTCTGGCAGTTTGTCACCAACCTAGATAAGAAAATTCTCCACTGTGTTTCACTGACATACCATAATAACTTTTGGTTATTTTTTGTTAACATTAATCCAAGTAAAATTGTTGCTGTTCTTTTTTTTTTCCCCCCTTGCAGGAGTCACAACTGTGTTGACAATGACAACACTGAGCATCAGTGCTCGAAATTCACTCCCCAAAGTAGCATATGCAACAGCTATGGATTGGTTTATTGCTGTTTGTTACGCATTTGTATTCTCTGCATTAATCGAATTTGCAACTGTAAATTACTTCACAAAGCGAGGATGGGCCTGGGATGGAAAAAGTGTAGTGAATGATAAGGTAAGTCCTAAGCAAATTGCCCTATTTCCAGTCCATTGCACTAAAGCAGCTGTAATACATAGTTTTGATAAAATTGGCTATATAAAACCAAATAATACATGATGTTTTAAACCAAAAGAATGTAGATGCATTTTGGTCTGCCCTGATGTAGCTAATCTTACTTGGTCTCAGTATTCCAGATTTATATATGAAGCACATTGTTTTTTTTTTACATTGGGAACTGACTTGTTTCTTGACTCCTTAGGTACAACCGTTTATCTGGTTATTCAGAAAATTTCATCTAGATTATATTGGTTGATCACTTTGTTATTATTTAATCCATTTGAGTTGGAAATAAGAAAAATATTAGAGAGACAGATAATGTATATTCATTTTCCTTGTAATTAAGGATCAGAAAAAGAACTGAATGCCCATATATGTAAAAAACTATAAATAACAAAATCCAGACATTGATTTTTAAACTATTTTAACTAGCAATTTTACAAAATACTCAGTACTTCACCTATGATGCATTGATGCTCTGAGTGCGCAGAAACACAGTCATGCCTTCATTTTCTGGTATTGATAGTAGTGTAGGTGTGATGGAAAAATTTTCACCTGATAGAATTTCTCATTTCATGAACAAAATGAACTGGTGATATGCCTAAATTTGTGACAAGCTTTACAGTTTGTAATTTTAATAACACAGAACAACTGTTAAAGCTGACTTGTTGTTTTGACTGACTTACTATAATTTTTCCTATCCCAGTCTCTGATTCTGCCAATGGAAAAGGATGTATTCTGATAAAGAATACTCTGATTTCTGTCCTTCTCCTTAAATTAAGTAGAACATTATTTGCTTCCTAGATGATAATCCTAGATGTAAAGCAATGTTTAATTGACTGGTGGCTTCTCAGCACTTTGAATGCATAATGCACAATACATAAAGAAGCAAAATGTTCAATTAACGGTAAAGGAGAATTAGAGGAAAAAGTACATTATTTATAATTTCCTTTGGCTTCCATTAAGACATAAACTGTCCATAGCTTCAGGGTCTGTTTCCTCATGCTAGTAGATACAAGTTTATCAGCATGTCACACAAGTCAAGCTTTTCAGATGGGCACGTTACCCTGGCATTGTAATAATGCAGGGAGCCCTTATAAAATCTCTGATCACACTTTGGCTGTTCCTTCAAATTAATGTAACAGTGTTGTCTCCTGATCTTAGGAGTGGCACCTGTTTAACAACAAGATAGCATTCCTTCCCCAGGAATGATAAAATTATCTATTCTATGTGAAGATTTACATACAATTCACATGTCCAGTTCTCAATTTTCAACAAACTGTCTTAACAAAAAGCTAAACTTTTAATACATTCATAGTTTCTCATACAAAAGTATGATTCGTCTTTATTATACAGGTCTCATTAATGGTTTTACAGATACATTTTAAAAATACACTAAGTGTGTCTGAAAGGAAGGCATTCTAGATCAATTAGAGTGTTCCTCTTGTAATTTGATTTGGTAATTATTTTTGCCGAATTAATGCGTGCACCTAAAGCCAGGCTTACTCTTCACCAAATAGAGTGAAATATGCTTCCTCAATGACAGTCATCTGTGTTCACATTATATTGAAATTCCCATCTAAGTGCTGTCAACATGGAATTTGTCTCACAGGAAAGCAGGTGCAGGGACAAGCTACAAATTTGATCGGCCTTTTTTCACACTCCAGTCAATAAGGAGCAGCGCTGAATTCCCACCCAATCCCAGATTTTCTTTTTATGTGACACCATCTCCTGAGACACGGTATTAGGGGCACAACATCTAACCATGAAGATCTTATCAAGATTTGTAGATGGCCCTAATAAACATCAAATTACAGCTAATTTGAAACCAAAATTGGAAATTTGGTAGATGCCTCCCAGTGGAAGTAAAAAATTGGAATGCATCTGTAAGAGAAAAGTCACATGAATTCCCTCACTTGTGCCACTTTAATTAGATCAAAAAATCAAACCAAACCAATACAACAGCCAGAAGTTAAGTATTTCTTCATCTGTTTAATTATGCATTTTGTGGAAGAGATGGACTGAATCTAATATTTATTTGCCTATTTCTAAATTCTATATGGAGAGCCTTGCTTCCCGATAAGCTTCCCTTCCATTCTTTCCTGCCAGTTATTGGAAATTCCTTAGTTTGGAAAGGCTGTAAAATGATGAATCAATTTATAGCATTACAGTCTTGTTGCAGAACTAGTCTTTGTACCTATACATATCTTTAAAAACTCAAGCCTATACTCTTTACCTTTACATCCCTGTATCTATCTATAGACAGTGTCTCCATTGGACTGGCACTGGCTGAATTTTAACCATTTAAAAGCATACACAATCCCTTAAAAACACAGAATTGCTGAGGTTGGAAAGGAATCTCTGGATGTCATCAAATTTAATTGTCCTACCCCAAGCAGGGACAGTTGTTTAGGGTCATATTCAGACTTCTTTAGTATCTCCAAGGATAGAGACTCCACAACCTCTCTGGGCAACCTGTTCCAGTGCTCAGTCACACTCACAGTAAAACAGGTACTTTTGTATGTTTAAGTAGAACATTCTGTATTTCAATTTGTGCCCATCGTCTCTTGTCCTTCCACTGGATAACACTGAGAAGAGTCTAGTCTGGTCTTCTTTACTGTCTCCCATCAGATACTTATATACATTGATAAAACTCCCCCCTGAGCCTGCTCTTCTCCAGGCTGAACAGTCACAGCTTTCAGCCTTTCGTATTTCAGATGGTTCAGGCCTTAAATGATCTTTGTAATCCTTTGCTGGACTCGCTCTCCATGTCTCTTGGACCAGGTAGCCCAGAACTGGATCCGTTACTCTGGATGTGTCTTATTAGGGCTGAGTTGATGGGAATGTTCACCTCCCTTGGCCTGCTGACAACACTCTCTGTAATGCAGTGAGGGCACATTTCTGGCTTGTGTTCAACTTGGTGTCCACCCTGGGCCTTTTCTGCATAGTTGCTTTTCAGTCCATTAGTCCCAGCCTCTACCAGTGCATGGTGTTATTCCTCCCAAGGTGCAGGACTTTAATTTCCCTTTGCTAAACTCCATTAAATTCTTGTAATTCCATCCTACTTTTCTTATATTCTGTTACTTTTAAGGTTCTAATCCCCATATTCACCACTGTTACACATTTTTTAAACAATAATTTCCGAAGAACAGAAATAGTGCTTGGGCTAGTTCTCAGCTTGCTTCTGCACCTACTAGGCTAGAGTCTTTCTTTCTCTCAATTTAAATCTCTTTCTGACAACAGTGTATGTGTCCATGTATATATTTATGTAAACAAACACATATTTCTCCAACATCTGTTAAAAATGTAGACCATTGCTGAAATTTCATTATTTTTTAGTGGTATGTTATGAGAGGTTCAGTTAATAACGATTCTAGATTTATGTGGAAAAGATGGCCTAATTTTCATTTTATTACAATGCCAGGTAATCTTTTATTTTTTTTTCAGTCCACCCATTCATTCCTTATAGTTCTTTTAACAGAGAACATTTTAAACATCTTGCAATTATGTTGTAAGGAGCCAGATACAAAGCAGCTAGAGAAAAAACAACTCTTTTCCAATTATCCTTACAATTGCAGTAGTAGATCCTTCCTCATAGAAATTTAGTAGGGCACTTGATTATACAAGAGTCTATGTTTTTAGAGCATTCTTATGTTACCTGTACCTTCTTTTTGGATAGACTGGAAGTGTCTTTCTATATATTTGAATTTATCGGTGTTGTATTGCTGGTATTTATTTTCACACATTCGTTTCTTTTACATTCGAAATGATGTTTTATTAAGTCTATTCTGGCAAATACACATTAAATATTTAACTTCATGCTGTTTTCCAATAGAAAAAAGAAAAAGCGTCTGTCATTAAGAAAAACAATGCCTATGCAGTGGCTGTTGCCAACTATGCTCCAAATATTACCAAGGACTCAGTGCTACCAACTATCTCCAAGAGTGCTACAACTGCAGAACCCAGCAAGGCAAAACCAGAAGCGAAACCACAGGAAGCAAAGAAAACGTTCAACAGTGTTAGCAAAATTGACAGAATGTCTAGAATAGTGTTTCCAGTCTTATTTGGTACTTTCAATTTAGTGTATTGGGCTACATATTTAAACAGAGAGCCTGTCTTACTTGGCTTTGCACCATCAACCTAAAAGCTGAATTTCACTGAGGACTTAAAGAATCATTCTAATCAGATAGGTTGTTCGCTATGTACAGTCCGACTAATAACTGCTAATCTGTGAACCATTATGTACAGAGTGTATATAGATGTCTTATCTGTGTATCTCCAAAGGAGGGACACATTGTTATTTCATGGGTCTGTAAACAGATAGCACCCATGGCAAATATAGCCAGCTGTTTAAAAGTTATACCCAAGGGAGTTCTGTTAAACTGGGATTCAAATATACAGAATTATATTCTCTCCGTACAATGAAATGAAGTTACGATCCTACATAATTATTTAGGAACAGTATTTTTTTAATTTAAAGTTAAAATATTTTTCTATAAAGTAATTCTACTTTAATGAAAGAAAATGTCATTTAAAAAAGTGATTTTTTTAAAAAGGTGTAATTGTTTCGTGCAATAGCAGTACCCATGTACATAACAAAGTATGGCACTCGTACAGTTCTACTGTTCACAAACATTCTGGATACTAGTTAGGCTGAAGAGGTAGTAAAGACTACTATATGGCAAAAATCCACCAGTTTCTTTCTTCTGTCCTGTTTGAAGCTGTTATTAAACTCTTCTAATTGATTTCGGGGAAAAGCAAGTGTTAATCAAATTTGCAATTTCAACCAACTTCTGCTAGTGAAAATCTTCTGCTAGTGAAAATCTTTTCACTGTTTTATTTATTTGATGTTGCTAAGCCAGGTTTTTCTGGTTCAGCAAAGTTGGATTTTTTTGTTTGTTTATTTTTTTATTTTGTTCTTAATTGGATTATTGTCAGGTTCATAAAAGCACTCAGAAATTTTTCAGGGTTAAGTATATCAGTAATACAATACACTCTTTTTTCTTGCTTAATGTTAACCTAAAACCTGCCATTAAAATATTTACCTGCATTTGTCCCAGAAAGCGTTCTTTTCAAGGGAAACAAGAATCATGATTTAAGTTCAGGAAATTGTCCATATAATAAAATTTACTGCTGCTTTTGTAAATTGCAACTTTGCATTTCGCTGACATAACTTTACAACAACTTTGTATACTAGAAATGGTTTTGCTAAGATTTGAATGTTATTTTTTTAATAAAAGTTCACGCATCTTCAGTAGGTATCAACTGTATTTCATACACACAAATATAACAAAATTGGAGCTGCCACTTGCAATTTTATATGAACGTTTAATACTGATCAGTAAAACTGTTTTTCATCTGAGCCTTTGCAAAGATTCTTTATGCCCCTAAAGGCCTGATAAATCATGGCATAAGTAATAATTGTGTACTGTATTTAGATTTTAGTATACTGGGCCAATCAAAAATACTTTGATTCACACATACATTAGCAGTTATTAGTTGACCTTTAAAAAAAGATACACCTTTATGATGATGTCTTCTAGTAGAGACATATGTAGTCGTATAGTGTCATTTATTGCAGTTTTGTACAGTACTTGAGTATAGTGCATAAAATAGATATGTTCAGAGTTTAACAAAGTTGTACAAATATTTCTAAAATCAAATAAAAGAGTATCTTAAGACATGGAAATGTGCTACAAACAACAGAGAAACACTGCTTTCATTTGCTGATTTATTTTCTTGCTTTTTCTTTGCTTTTAATGTGATTCTGTTTTGTACTTTGTGTGACAGTATAGATGCCAAGGTCACAAATACATATTATGAATAGAATTAATAGTTAAGGCAGAGTTGACATCAGGAAAATATAAGTTATAAATGAAACGGAGAAGCATGGACAAGGTGTTTTCCCTTGAAGTCCCTCTAATTAAACTGTCAGATTAAACCTTTCTCATGAACAGTAGTTAAAAAATGAGCACTTTATTCAGAACATTAAAATTAAAATATCCTTATTTTCATATATATTTATATATAAATGTAGATTTTCCATGTAACATGGAGATGTGTGCAATAGTGAGATTATGAGCATAAGTCTGGAAGGCAAGCAATAAACAAAGGTTTATTTCATGGTATAATTACACATTTTTAAAATGTTTCATGTGTAAATTATAAATGATCCCTTTAATGTCACATTGTCCAGGTATTAATAAATATATAAATATGTACATATGTACAAACAATTGTAAATATTAGAACTGTAGAAAAATCCCTTCACTTTTAACTCTGTTTTTGGCAAAGGGCTCTGACTGTATAGTTTAATGGAGGCCCATGCTAAACTGCTCTTGAACTTGAGTAGCTTGATTATGTTTTCTATGGCAGAGGTCTCCTTCCTGTGACCTAGTACAAGTTCTTACCTTCTGTTTGCATCAGCAAGATGTAGGGATTCTCAGCCCTCACTGAACTGGGGTATGAGAAACAGAGGTTTGTGTTTCACCCTTGGCCACTCCCAGGTACTCCAAACTCTTCAAAATATTTAAACAATGTTGAGTATTGCTCTGTGCATGACACTGTATAGTCAGAACTCTCCCCACTACAAATATGAGTGTGCTTAGGAAGCATATTGAATTAGCTGATAAGGAAGGATTTTGCATCCTAATCCAAGAATGGGACCTCTCAAAGGTTTTTAACAGTACAGATCTTCTGCAATAAGATGAGTTCTCTGGAAAATAACAACTGTGTAATTCAGAGCTGCATGCAAAAGCGTATCTTCAGTCTGCACAAGAAGCCTGATGCTGTCTTATGTTAGTCAGCTCTGCTGCTACTGCTTTTTTTTTGGGTAAAATTATGTTTTTGTTCACTGACCATTTTCTCTATGCTTGTGTTATGCTTAGGAGTCAGGCAGGCAAAAATCCAGGTGTTTATCACATGCTAAAGATATATCTATTGCACAGTAATACAGAAGTATAATATATAAATTCAGTCAGTGAATGAGAATACATTTTAAATATACACATGCAGTTATTGTGAGCATCAGCAAGGCTTTTGAGTGCATATGCTCCACAAAAACTTCACTTTTACATTTAGTTCAGCTAGTCTGTGTTAAAGCAAACACCTTCTGCAGGAGGAAGAAGTCTGCTTTATTATTTCACTACTGAAACATTTATAATGAATAAAATGACTACACATAAGTTGCAAATTTGTGAGACTTAATGACTGCATAGGTAAATTTGAATGTAAAGATTTAAGTGAATGCAAGCATCATGCAAGGAACACTGGAATACAAGAGTTAGGCCTTCTTTCCATTTAGTGGCATAGAATCTGTGTTTGGGATTTGAAAACTGGTGTCACAAATTTATGAGTCAAATACCTAGAAGTTTCATTTAATTTAAGTAAAACTTGCTGGTCTTAAATACTGAAAAGTGAGGAGAGAGAGCGTAAGTGAGCAAATGCAAGTCATTTTGCTATCAAAGACTTGCACATGGAATCTACCAGTGAAATTTTTGATTGGCATTTTAACGTAATTTATTTTTCCCATTATTCTGGTGTCAGGGTGTGCATATTTTATGTGAGTTAATAAATGAACACAAAAAATACAGTGATATAACACTGCAATAAGCTTGGATTAAAATTGCCATAATTATGAACAAGGTTTCATTTATGAAACAGGTTTTCAAGGTAGTACTGGGGCACACACTGCTGGATGCAGATGGTCAGTACTTTAACAGTAATTTATAAATCAGCATGAAGAATATACAGATCAGCAGGGTTTGTCAGCCAGGGATGTCTGCTGGAGATTTAACAGTTTGCTTTTAAACGAGTGGCTTCCAAATTTCTCAGTTAGGTTGTAGCCAATGAAATTATCTTCACCTTCCATATCTGGTTAATTCAACTTGCAACTGCTGCATTGTTGATCATCTTTAAAAAAAAAAATATTATGGTAGATGTTCTGAGATACAAACTTTAGCTTGGGATACTACTCATACAACTGAAAATTATGCTAAATTAAGAAGCATGAAATAGCTTCACCAGATGCCAAACAGGAACCTTACTGAATTACTTTCCCTTCCCAGTGATTATAGATAACATATGATATGGTGAGACTTTTCAGAAGTGAGGTAACCACAAATTGTCTGTGTGAAAGCAACTGGAAGTCGCTGGGAAGAGGTAGGGATGTATGGGAGAGGAAAGGAGGAAAGCAAAGAAGCAAATGCATTTGTTACTCTTAGTGGACTGTGACATGATTGAGGAAGAAGCCCTTGAGGGAGTTAATGTGTATTTTTGCATCAGCTTCAGTTCTGAGCTTTCATTACCATGAGTTGTGGGAAAGTAACTTTTAGAATATAGGAGATTTACATACTACTTGTATAATTCTGCTGAACTTGAGGGACATGAGTTGTGCCTTTGAAACTGAGAGGCTTCTGCTGACTGCATTCTGAAAAGCATGCAATGTTGTGTGCCTCCTGCCATAAGGGACATCTAGGGTGGAGGGGGAAAAGAAGCTTCAGTAATTAAATACATCTTGGTTATTTCTATTTTTTTCTCAAGAGGTGTGACTTTCACTTAAGCACAGATAGTCAGCATCTATCTTCCATACCTCATTCCTATTCTAAGGAAAGCTAAGTGGAGCGCAAGTTTTCACATTGGCCTTTCACAAAATAGAGGAAGCCTATGCTTCTGAACATTTCCATTCCTAACAAATCTTCATGGAAGATGATTTCAGTATGGATATGAAGCTATCATCAGTCTATGCCCAATTATGGGTAAACATATAATGCTAAAATTTAGAAAGCCATGTGATGGGTTTTAAGAAGATGAAGAAGACATTTTAGAATTAGCTCAGAAAAGTTAAATAGCCTCATTTAAAAAACACAGAGCATGATAAATGTACAAATGTCTAAACGCATCTAAATAGAATCTCTGAGTGTGGTATAATTTGATGTCATATGTAAGGTTTTTATCTTGAAGACTTTGAAACGTTAAAGTAGATAAGTGATTTTATATGAAAGCTGGCTCACACTTCAGCCTCCAGTACAGGGAGTGATTCTTTAGAAAGCAGAGTTTTAGGATTCGTTCCACCGCTTCCCAGTGATAATGTACCTTCTGCTAGAATGTTGTCAGTTTGCAATATAACTTTAAGTTATATCCCTTTAACAATACCTTCTCTTCATTTTAAAATATTTTTAGTCTAGGAGACCTCCTCCACCTCATTTCTGTAGATAACCCAAAATCCCTAACAGTCAGAACTTCTAATTCTGTTCTGAATTCAGCCATCTGAGAATCAGTGGAGGACTTTATCACTTTAGACCTTTAGTAGTAGAAGCTAAAGGCTCAAAAATTTGTTTCAATGAATGGCAGATGTTAATCACATAAAAAGTTTTAAA